CCTATTGCAATAAAACGGCAATTTCATACTTTAACCCCTAATATTTTACTTAAATTAACGGTGATATCATTGATTAAATGATTTTGTTGAGAACGAAAATGAAAAATTAGTTCATTGTTGTTTTCATTGGCAGTTGAAAAACTACGATACACTACGCTATCTCCAGGAATGTTTTCTGAAGATAAATTGTGAAAACTCAAATGTTTACTATGAGGACATGCGGTGGGTTTTTCGAGACATTGAGGCTTGATCCAAATAAGGCACAGAATGCTAATTTAGAGTTGTTACTTTTTTCCAAATAACCTGAAGAAATAACACTTGGTATAATTATAACTAACTAGTGGAGTAATTTCACAAAAAATAATTGAATATCATAGTGGTGAAACATCTTGACATTCAATAAAATTTATTTACAACCTGAAGAAAATTCATGTTACCAGGAAAAGGCCAGTCTTTTTCTACACTTTCGTAATTTTCTACAAGTTTAATGTTAATATTATCAATGGCAGGTTTCAATGCCAGATAAACGAATCAATATCAGTAATGTTGTTCCCAAATGACACTTTGATCTGCAGTTCTCTTTAATAATCCTCCAACTCCTGGGCACTCTTGCCATGGCCACACTCGCAATAATCGCGAATGCCCCGGATGAAGTTGGAGGATTTTTAAAGACAACTACAGATCAATCAGTGTCGTTTGGGAATGACATTACTGACATTGATTCGATCATCTGGCATTAAAAGCTACCGGTAATAATATTCAAATTAAACGTGTACATTACGAAATTGTTCAAAAAGACTGGCTCATTCTTAGTATATGAAGCCTTTTCTTAGTAACATGAATTTTTTTCAGGTTATTTAGAGAAATGCAATAACTCTAAATTAGTACTCAGTGCCTTATCGACACCATCATCTGATGATGATGAGATGATGGTGTTACAGTACAACTACTCAAAGCAGGAGGAAATCCTGTGGAAAAAGTGCTTGTGAAACTTATCAACAAAATTCTTCTTGAAGCTCGAATACCAGAGCAATGGATGAATGCCATCGTCACCATCATCCACAAAAAAGGCGACATTGCAAAACTTAGCAATTATCGGCCGATTAGCTTGCTCTCTCAGATTTATAAACTTTTTACAAAGATTTTGACCATCTGGCTTAGCAGTGAACTTGACGAAGCGCAGCCTATTGAGCAGGCTGGCTTTCGGAGCGGCTTCTCAACCATCGACTATATCCACACGGTAAATCAGCTGATGGAGAATTGTCTCGAATTCAACCAGTCCCTTGTCATGGCCTTCGTCGATTATGACAAGGCCTTTGACAGTATCGAACATTGGGCCGTGTTCCACGCTCTTCATCGCTGCCATATCGATTCCCGCTACGTGGATGTGCCCCGGGAACTCTACAGTTCAGGTACCGTTCACTATGCAGGTACGAGTTCACGATTTAACCAATCCCGTTCCAATCGGACGAGGAGTGAGACAAAGAGATACCCCAAATAGATAGAGATTCCCCAAAATTATTTACAGCAGCACTTGATGATGTCGTAAAAACCCTTAAATGTGATAACCACGGCATTAACATCAATTTTTTTTTTTTATAAATAACGCACACACTCAACATAGCCCCGCACTAGGGAAACCCTGTGTCGCGGGTGCCATGGACACACACATAGACAACCACAAATTACATCCAAACTCACGAGAGAAATAATTGTAGGCCATACAACTATTTCTCCCGGCCCGGGAATCGGACCTGGGACCTCTGCGTGGCAGTCCGGCATGGTAACCGTTAGGCCACGGAGGCAGTTAAACACGTTGGTGTAACACCATTTGTCTTACCTAAGACTCGCGGACGATCTCGTGCTATTTGCAAGTTTTGACGATCTCCAAAGGATGCTGGAACAACTATATGATGCTTCTTTGAGAGTTGGCCTAAGGATGAATATGTCCAAGACGAAGATTATAGCGAATCTCTCCAGTTCCTCAAATACCATTGTCACGGTGGGAAATGACAGGATGGAGAGAGTCGATCAGTATATCGTCTATCTCGGACACGTTCTGTCCTTTGGCAAAGAGCATCAGCCTAAAGAGATCTCAAAAAGAATCCTGCTGGGATGGGCTGCGTTTAGCAAGTTAGGTGACATCCTTAAATCAGGTAAGGTTCCACAGTGTCTGAAGACCCGCTTGTTGAATCAATGTGTTCTGCCCACCATGACGTATGGTGACGAGACGTGGACGCTCACGCAGGAGACTGTATACAGGTTGAGAGTTGCACAGAGGGCCATGGAGCACGCTATGCTCGGCATCACCCTTGTAGACCGAGTTCCGAAGGTTGAGATCCGACGATGGACGAAAGTCCAGGATGCTGGAACTCGGATCATGGAACTCGAATGGGGCTGGGCGGGACACCTAGCTAGGCAAGGTGATGACAGGTGGAGCAAGACATCGACTGATTGGTGGCCGAGGAAGGGCAAAAGAAGCGTCGGGCGCCCTGTTGCAAGGTGGGTCGACGACATAGTACGCGTCGCGGGGCGTCAATTGATGCGGCTAGCACGGGACCATTATGGATGGCACAAACTTCGGGAGGCCTATACCCAGCAGTGGGTGAAATCAGGCTGTGAATGATGATGATGCCTTATCAAGCCTTAATGTCCGGACAAACCTACCGTATGTCCTCATGGTAATCATTTGGGTTTCTACAACTTATCTTTAGGAAACATTCGTAAGATGGCGTTGTGTATCATAGTTCTTCAACTGCCAATTACAGCAACAATGAACTCATTGCCTAAAATCCAGGGAAGTACTGCCACCTTACCTATTTCTGTCGCCAAGCAGTAATGTTAGCATAGTTAGGTTTGGAAGGGTAAGGGTGCTGGTGAAGTTACAGGCACATGGGACTTGCCAACTTACGTCTCAGGGTGACGGGCGCAGTGGCAGTGCTCCTCAGATCTTTGCTTATTTAAAGCTCTGAGTGGCACTGCTACTGTTATGGACAGGCGTGTAGCTTACCATCAGGCGCATGACTCGTTCGTCCCGTCACATGATATTAAAAATAAAAAGCAGAGGAAAGTTCCAACTGTGCGTCGTTTTAAAGTTAAAACTTTACCATGGTATAAATAAAATATATATGTTGTGGATATTTGATGAGAGTTTACTGGATACTGAATGAGGATTGACTGACTGACTCTGGTTGACTGAGTGAGGTTTACATTTTGTATGAGCTACTTATACTAATTTGGTACGTGTGTTCTATGCTGATGCACAAGGCATGATTGTAACTTTGCTTGTACCAAGACGTGCCTGAATGTCGGAAGAGGGTTAGACATTCTGGCACGTCTGTGGCTGGTACAGTACTCCCCCTCAAAAGGGAAAAAAAAATTATTAGCACAAGAACAACTTAACGTACCAAACGATATTACAAAAACTTAATAATTTATTTTTATTTATTTATTTATTTATTTATTTATTTAAATTCACCAACGCTTAATACATTCGGTTACAACAATGTTTTACACACATTCGATAGGGTGTTACAGTTAGAATGCTTAACCAATTACAGGTGAACATGCCATGATAAGAGTATGAAAGTTAAGACAATTACTGTTGTTTTTTTTTTTACTGTACTTATATTACATATGTTTATTGCATTAACAAATTAAGTTATAAAATAACAAATTAAATTATAAAATAAATATAATATACATTACAAATAATATTCACTTACAAATAATATTCACTTACTAAAACTGCAATATTGACTTCCTGAAGCGAGGCAATGAGACTGCGAAAATATCCATTTCAAGAGGTAGAGCATTGACGAGCCTGGCAAAACGAGCAAACGGAGAATTTGAACCGAGGATACTTTTGCGCAATGGGGGGTGAAAAAGATTTACGTGATACCTTGGTAGACGAGAGGGTATTTTAAACTGTATTTTAGAGAGAAGTTGCGGACTATTAATTTTATTGTTAATTAGCTTATATAAGAATACTAGATCAAGCATTTCACGGCGCAAAGATAAAGGAGATATTTTGAAAAACTTGAGACGGGTGTCGTATGAGACACTCTTTTTACCCAAACCTCGTAAATAACTAAGATGCCATAAGAACCTTTTCTGAATACGTTCTAACCTAAGAGAGTGAACCGCATAATGTGGCCTCCAAGCAATACTCCCATACTCTAAAATAGTCCTTACAAAACTATTGTATAATAAAATTCTAGTAGATGGCCTTCTAAAGACTTTGCCAATTCGTATTATAAATCCCAGCATCCTAGATGCTTTTTTTATAATTTGTTCCATGTGAGGCAAAAATAATATTAAACATGAAATAAACTTGTGTTATACATAGACGATTGAATAAGTTACAGATAAAATTATTTGCACTTGGATTTGACTTGAGCGACAATGGACGGTTTAATGGTGACGTTGGACGAAAAAATTTTTTGTTAGACTGGATACTTGTGACAATGTGCACAATTGACCTTCTTGGTTCGTTGGCTTTTTGTCGTTCCTGTCGATTTTTGATATCCGTGGATATCCTTAGTTTCTGCTGCTATTAAGGCGAGCATGTTTCTGCTGCTATTAAGGCGAGCATGTTTCTGCTGCTTTTAAGGCGAGCATGTTTCTGCTGCTATTAAGGCGAGCATGCGTCTGCGATGCGACAGTCCATGTAAAATGTCACCGTAATGTTTGATTTCTCATTGTGCCGTGAATGTCAAATATGTAAATGGTCGCTGTAAGTACGACGTGATTTCAAATTGCTTGTCTGTTTTAACGCTATTAGTTTACTGAATGAAGCACATTCCGTTGAGAGCTGCGTCAGCGGTATTCTTTGTTTATGTTGTAGCTCATAACTTTCCAGTGTCAAGGTCTCCAGTTGTAATACGATGTTGCTGTTCTAATCAGTTGTAGCGCTGCCATTGACCTCGGTACTTCCTTGTTTATATAATAAGTGGCGTTAAAGGCGTCTCTTTTGCGGGCGAGGTTGTGCGGCTGTAGGACGGAAGGCGCGCGGCGACCATGCTTCAGGTGCGATGGGCGCTTTCGGAGCAATGTTTTTAGACGTAAGTTTCGTGGCGGGCGCGTGTTACGTGGCTTTCGTGGCTTCATGGCGGCGTATATTTCTTGGTGTGCGAGGCTTCGAAATTTCTTCTAGGCGGGCTTACCGTTTTACCGGTTGGCTGAATGTTGATTTTCTGCTGTGTTTGTTGCCATGTCGGAGTCCACTATATGAGGCGGGCTGTGTTCTTCCAGACGCGTTGTTTACTTCCAGTTGCGGTGTGTTCTTCATCGTCGGTTTGTTCTTCATCGTCGGTTTGTGTTCGTCGTCGTCGAGTTGTTCTTCGTCGGGGTCACCACTTTACCATGTTGTTACATGGTATAAAATAAAATATATATGTTGTGGATATTTGATGAGAGTTTACTGGATACTGAATGAGGATTGACTGACTGACTCTGGTTGACTGAGTGAGGTTTACATTTTGTATGAGCTACTTATACTAATTTGGTACGTGTGTTCTATGCTGATGCACAAGGCATGATTGTAACTTTGCTTGTACCAAGACGTGCCTGAATGTCGGAAGAGGGTTAGACATTCTGGCACGTCTGTGGCTGGTACAGAGCAAACAAATTTTTATCACGATTAAATTAAATTTAAAGAAACAATTAAATTTACTTCATTTTCGTGGGTTTTATATACATATATCTCAACTTTGGTGGCAATATTCAATTCAGGTGCAACCGATAAGCGTTTTGGTGGCGTTTCTAAGTATTGGTGGCGAGAAAAATTTTTAATTGCTTATATCTCTAAAATTAAGGGAAATGGTTATGTCCCGGTCACGTCTATATAAATGAAATGTTTCATTTTATTGCAAATGAGTCTCGGATACTGGAAAATCTAAAAAACAATTGCGCCACCAAAATTTACAATAAAACTCATTTGTTGATATTCACCCAAATGAAGCTTTATCCATCCACAAAACTGATAATGCGACGTTTGGTGACAATTGAACCTGGCCCAAATACCATTTACAAAAAAGATAATCGTGGGCGCTGTGGTAGTGGATCGTCATGTACATATAGTATGCCACGTCGGCTTATGGTTTGCAATGCCAAGAATAGCTGCGGCTCGGTGACTGCAGATTCGCGGACCTTCAACAAAAAAATGCCAATTTCGTATTTCATTCTTAATTTACTATTCGATAGTAAATTTTTGAAACCTTGAATTTCCACTGTATATTTCTGTTACATCATGTGTAATTAATTATATTGTAAAATAAAACAACATAACATTCTATAGAAAATTGTATGAATTTATTGTTCGCATATCCAAGTAAAACGTTTCGTTCGAAATGAGTGATGGAACATATGCAGTATGTATGTACGTAGTTGTCTATTGTATGCGGCTTCACATGGGTACAGGCATGGTGTGCTAGTGTACTACATTTTTTCCATCCTCTAAGACTGCATACGCATACGCCGTTTGCGTTTTGCGCACCCGTACGCCGTTCTGCAACGTATTGATACGTAAAAATGATAACAATATAAAACTAAGGCAGCACTTCCAGGATGTTTAATGGAAGATAATATAACAACAAGTAACCTATTTTCACTTTGTATAACAACATTTGATATAATTTCTAAGGATATAATAACTCACTGTATATAATCAACAAATGGCATAATTTCAATGTGTATTAATATTATCAATATAACAAACATTAGATATAATGATTAAGTGACATAATGAACAAGTGGTATAAGTACTACCAGTATAATGTATTAAGTAATACGATACAATATTATGTTGATAAGATTTTTTTTATTTCATTAAATGTATAATCGCAAATTATAATTATTTAAGTGCTTTTTGTGTTATAAAATATATTTATTAAAACTTTAAGCAGAATATTTAATTGCATACACTATCCTAACCTAAACCCACAGGAGGAGGTCGAACCAACTAGCAAATGCAAACAAATTCGATTCTGGCACTTTGTCATATACTAACCTTTTTTTTTTTTTTTTTTTTTTTTTT